CCGTTTAAATCCTGCATAAACCCTGCTTAAAACCGGCTACCAAACAGCCCCTTAAAATCCTAATTGCAACCAAACATACAAAAGTGATGGTGGTTATTGAGTATTTATTGTCTCCATTGTAGTATTTAGTTTCTTTTATTAGTAGATTGAGCGAATCTTGCTCCTGTCACATGTTTGCATGCTTAACTTGGTTTGTGACTATTTTGTATAATCCCGCAGAAATGGACATTTTCGACCATATAAATTTTTTCATATATATTATGTATCAATTAACCTCATCTTATTTTCTGAAGAAATAGTTATCAAAGTACCAATTGCCTCTTTCCCCCGAGGCAGGGGATTTTGAGCTAGAAAATGTGCGGAATAGCTGCAGTTATCAGTGGGATTCAGATCATCGGATCCAATCTTTCCAGGAAAACGAAGGAAGCTTCGCCTTTAGAAGCCAAAAAGGTTTCTTTCCTCTATTTCGACCTTCCAGTCAATCTCCCCTTTCTGAAACTTTGTTGTAGTTTAATCCTATCCAAATTTAAACGTGGAGATTTCATGACATTGTATTTAGGGTCTTATTTTGTGTTATCAAATAGGTTTACATAATTCTGCTTATTGATTTATTTACTTGTGCAGGACTATGGATCAGTTCTTGTAACTATAGATAACCTCAAGTCTGCTTTGCAAAGAAGAGGTCCTGATAGCTTGGGGTGCAGAAATGTTTTGATTCAGTCAGAATGTGAAAATTTGGTTAAAAAATGCGGTACCTTTTCTTGTTGCATAGTTTTAAACTTGTTATATCTTTGTTTTTGTTTCTTTAACACTTGATAAGCTAATGCTTATATAACAGATATTAAAGTAGATAAAAGTCAATATTTTTCTTTCTGCCCTTGAAACATGGTTAACTGTACGATTTCATCTGCACCAGAAACAACTTGCACAAAGGATGTAAGTGTCAGTGGAATGAATTCTACTGCACAAGTACATTTCATTGGTGCAATGTTACAACTTAGGGGCTTAAATCCGGTTTCTCAGCCGCTAGAGGATGCATCTGGGAATCTTCTTGTATATAATGGTACGTCATTATAGCTTTGCCAATACTTATATTCAAGAGGATTACCAAATACAGTTTGATTGGTGGATAATGACTTTGGTTTGTCTTCAGGTGTATTTTTTTATATCCTTTTACCCCATTTTTAATTCTCTTATCTTGTTGTCCATTATCCATTTTCATGAATTTATAGGTCATGCTGTTATCTGATTTTCAATCATTTTGAGGATTCTACATAATTTATATAATGTATTATTTCAGCTTTTTTTTTAATAAAGTGCATGCGTATGTTTCTCTTTATACATTTTTCACTCAAATTAATTTTCACCATTTGCTAAACAATTTAAAAGGATATAATAAATGCTTTATTTTTCCTTAATAAAAGTTATTTGGCCTATTATCAATATATCA